AACCTGGTTATCCCACGTCTGACGTGAGCATAGACTACTTAGTTGTTCCTATACATAAACGATGCTTCGAAGACACCTGTGATTAAATACGTTCAGTCTGCGCATGTCATCTGCTTTCATTGACCATGGTTCATAACCACAGATTTACATAGCAGTCTGCTACGCCATCAGACGTGTATCCTTCTTTCAGGATAAGAGTTAGTAAACGTGCTCAGCTGCTTCACTTCTTGTCTTCATTTTAGGCGTTGATGTAGAGCAGTTCTAAAGTAGTCTTACACACTTCACTTATAGACAAATCTCAAGCATTCTCTTTACGTTACTCAGGGGTTTCAGAAAACTATTTAATCAACATCGTCAAACAGGAATAAGTTATCTGCATACCATGACGAGATTCATTAGTTTTTCAATGTCAGTTGTTTATGATTGATCGCTAACAACCTAATAACTCAAGGCACCAAAATGACATTTTCTTTTTTCTCTGTTACTGTCTGGTCATTGTAAGGCTTTTTTCATCAGTTATGCTGCAATTACAATCTCGATTTATGAGGCGGAAGGTTATTTGTAGCAGTAGTTGCTTACTTACTCCTGTTACCCCTCGTGGAGGAGCATAGGCCAACCACCAGCCGACCATCCAACCCTGTCTTGGGTAACCCTTTCCAGTTGCTATTGATCCTTTTCAGATCTGCTTCTAATTCCCGACGAAATGTATTCTTCGTCCTTCCTCTTTTCCGTTTCCCTTCAGAATTCCAAGTTAGCGCTTGACTTGTGATGCAGTTTGGTTTCGTCAATGTATGTCCTATCCTTTTCCAACGTCTTTTCTTAATTTCCTCTTCATCTGTAAGCTGGTTTGTTCTTTTTCACAGTAGGATTTTACTGATGGTATCCAGTCAACAGATATGCAGTATCTTGTGTAGACAATTGTTTAGAAATAGTTGTACTTTTTTGATGATGGTTGTGGTTGTTCTTCAAGTTTCAGATCCGTACAGTAAGACTGTTTCGACGTTCGTATTGAAGATTCTGATTTTGATATTGGTTGACAGTTGTTTTGAGTTCCATATGCTCTTAAACTTTAGGAATGTTGTCCTTGCTTTACCAATCCTCACCTTTACGCCTGCATCTGATTCTCCACGTTAATCGATGATGCTGACCAGGTACGTGAATTTTCCCACGTGTTGCAGTCTCCGTCAAGTGTGACTGTATCGGTGTTCTCCGTGTTGTGTCTGAGGATCTTACTTTTACTTTTGTGTATGTTGATGCCTACTGATGCTGAGGCTTCTGATTCACTGATTGTCTGCATTTGTTCGCGTGTACGAGATAGAAGGGCCAGGTCATCTGTAAAGTCCAAATTTAATTGAATCCGAGCCGTCCGTTGTATTCCGTACTTCCCTTCCGATGTCTAGGTCTTCATAATCCAGTCCACCACCAGAAAGAGGAAGGGGAGAGTAATCAGCCTTGTCTGACTTCGGTCCTCTTTTGGAATGTATCTGCTAGCTGTCTTCCATGCACGACTTTGCACTGTAGTCTGTCGTACGAATTCCGGATGATATTGACGATCTTCTCACGTACACCATAGTGTCGAAGAAGTTTCCATAAAGTCATCTTATCCACACTGTCAAACGGTTTCTCATAGTTAATTAAGTTGATGTACAGTGACGAGTTTCACTCAACTGATTGTTCGACGATGATCCGTATTGTCGCAATTTGGTCTGTGTACGACCGATCCTCACGAAATCCAGCTTGTTGATCTCGAAGTCGGGCGTCTACTGAATCTTTCATCCGTTTCAGCAACGCTCTGTTGAGAAATTTTCCTGGTAGTGATGGTAGTGTGATGCCTTTGTAGTTCTTACATTTGCTCAGATCCCCTTTCTTTGGTATCTTGCTGAGGTGTCCTTCTTTCCAGTCTGTCTATGGCACCTGTTCTTCCTCCCGAATCTTCTTGAATAGATCGTAAACCATTTTTGGAGTTACTTCTATGTCTGACTTCAGAGCTTCGGCTGGTATATTGTCAATTCCTGCTGCTTTCCCGCTCTTGGTTTGTCTGATGTCCATCCTGATTTCTTTGATCGTTGGTGGAGTGATATCTATTGGAAAATCTGTAGGTGCTGCTTCGATGTCAAGTAAATTCATTGGAACTAGTCTATTCCTCGGAGTGTTTCACTCATCCGTTCCTCTGTTATTGAATCTCAGTGACCGGCTTGCCTTCTCTGTCCTTGGGAGGTCTCTCTGGTTTATAATATTTTCCTGTCAGTTTCTTCATTGTGCCGTATAGTCGTCTGATATTTCCTTCTGTTACAGCTTTTTCCGCCGCCATTGCTAGGACTTCCACGTATTTCTGCTTATCGACTCTAATGCTTTCCTTCGTTTACTTATTCGCTTCTGTGTATGCAGCTTGTGCCTTGAATTTCTCTGCTCTTGTTCGACTGTTGTTGATTTCTGTCTTTTTGTTCTACCTGTCTTGAATCCTGTCCAGGGTTCCGATGGAGATCTATTCCTTATGATGTTGTTGCCGCCTGGAACCTCCTGACACGTTGAAGTTAGGGGTTTTTCGATCTCTTTCAAATTGTCCTCCATAGTAGTTTTCTCTTCTTCGAGTAGACCTGGTAAGACTTGGAACCTGTTGTTGAGAGTTATCTTAAATTGGTTGAGTTTGTCAGTATCTCATAAGAATGTTGTATTCGACCTTTGTACTACTGTTTCTTCAGTTTTCAAGTGTTTCTTTGGCTTCAGTCTCCTCTTGGCCACAACCAGGTGGTTATCTGAGGCTATGTCAGCTCTCCTAAATCTCACGTCTTCCCTTGACCTTATGAATTTTTTAATGATGCAAATATGATCTATCTGGTTCTCCTTGGTGTAATCCGGTGAGATCCACGTAGCTTTGTGTATGTGTTTATGTGGAAATATTGTGTCACCTATAATCGATTCGTTGAATGCACATAGATTAGCAAATCTCTCCCTATTTTTGTTTCTTTCTCCTAGTCCATGTTGTCCCATGATATCTTCATAACCGTTGTTGTCCATTCCAACTTTGACGTTTAGGTTTCCCATCAGTATGGTGAAATCCTTTCTTAGGCACTTCGGTATGATTGATTGCAGCGTCGAGTAGAACTGATCCTTATTGTTGTCATTGTTATCATTGATGGGTGCATAGCATTGGATAACATTCATTATGATTCCCTCCTTCTTCGTTTTGAATGATGCTTTGATGATTCTGCATCCATGAGATTTCCATCTTATAAGTTCATTTCGTGCCTATTTGAACAACATCAGAGCAACTCGCCGCCTGTGTGGAGCATTTTACTCCTCGTGACCGGAGTACAGCAGTATCTTTCTCGTATCCAACCTTTGCCGTCCAGCTTGGGTTCAACGGGTTTCACATATTCCGAGGATCACCGAGTTGTATCTTCTCATTACTGTAGCTATTTGACTAGTCTTCCCGGTCTTCCATATTCTCCAAACGTTCCATGTACCTATATTAATTGTTCTGATTGTTAGAAGGGGCATCGGTCTCGTGACCCCCGAAGAATCTCGGCTTTCATCATGGCGTCATAGTTCTTCCCCCAAATCGGAGGGCAGAGTTTAAATGGTTGAATTTATTTAATCTTGTTGTCGTTTTTTAGCAAGGTTGTTTTCTATGGAATGGGGTTGCCCACTCCATGTCCAAACCTCATCCTTTAACCGGACTTGGGACCGGCAGTAACTCTAGGATAGCTACAGGCGGAATTTGTAGCAATAAGTAACGGAAGTTAATTATGATATATAGTTTCTCATTCAAATTACAAGTTCTATGCGGAGAAAAATGTTTCTCTTTTCGTACCAACTACTACCGGATAATCTAAGAGACAGGTGTTGATAATGTGTTAAGTTGTCGATCAATGAAGCGATGACTTGGAGATGAAGGGACTTGGCTTTCAGTAAATAGGTCTCATGTTCACACTCCGCTCCATCTCATTCTGTTTGGGCAGCCGTGCAGAATCCATAGACTCACTTAAAACGCAGCTCAAAAACGAAGAACGAAAAATATACCTAGTCAACGAGTTGCCGTTATTTCCAACTAAGTTGTTGGTTGAAATCGACTTCAACTAGTTCAGTCTGATTACCTAGCTTTTATGTACCGTTATAATCAAACAGCTTGGTTTGCATTGTAACAAACTGACCTACATTTAATTAGTAAGTTTCATTCTTTTTGTCTTTTAATTATCATTATTATCTTTTACTTTTTACGGAAAAACTAGACAAATTACTACTATGACATATATATAATAACATACCACTTTCTTACACTTGTATACTAAGCAAAATACGCATAAGTAATAAGTAAAATCCAATTGTTCCTTAGTGCAGGAGTGATCAAACTTAAGCATAACTAAAATTCAGTTGACATATAACCCAAACTGTCCACTCATCTTGATACAGTTGAATCTATCGTCTACTTTTGGTTTAACTTAATACGACTTAACTAATAACATTTTCTATTTCTAACTAATTTTTCCATGCTTTAGGTTTTGACTATTGTTGGTATTATTATCTCACTTCCTTCGGTTTTTATCTTGTCAATTTTCTATTTTTGCTGATATAAGCTATGCCAAATAAGACTGGGACACTTGTACCAAGTTCCATGTTCTTTATGACTAAATTAGGAGAAGATAATATCACAATAAAATACACAATCCATTTATATTCCGTGTATTGTGAAAATACTGTCGTTGTTGCTTTATTTAAAATTATGTTCGGTTTTAAATTTATATACCTTTGGGCTTGTAGTGAATATAAATAAAATTTAGTCATGAAGAGAAGCCTTGACTGTTGCTAATTTCAAAGGAACTAAATTAGGTTGCGTCATACATCTAGTTTATACTCCCCATTCTTTTACATATCTTACAGCGAACATTTCATATCTAAAACTGGATACAAATTTAGGTCAACGAAAATAAAAGTCTTCATAATTATCTTGGCCGCAACTACTCATAAAGTTTATTTCAATTTTCCCTATTTTATTTCAGACTAACTTAGAACCTAACCCCAGTTTATCTCCCCAAATACCTCCAACCAATGCAGCTAGCTTACCTCCCACATCCAGAATGGTTCGACCTCGTTCTAGTATTGGTCCCAGTGATCATACCAGTAAAGAAAGACCTGTTAGTTCAGGACCTGATATGTTTGGCCTCTTCAAAAGGGGCTCAGTCAAGGTAAACGTTTCACCTTTTTCTTCTAAATTGGTTGCTTCATTTCAATATAAGTTAAATGGCTATTTGTATGATTTGAATATCTACCTCATTCTAGTTCATGTACATATTAATGTGCAATTTTATAAATGTAATTAAATGCAATATATCGTCAGATTGATATATATATATATATATATATATATATATGAAGTAAACCTTCAGTTCTAGTAAGAATTTGATATAAATGTGAATTTCCTTTGTTGATTAGTGCCACATTTCAAAACGACGATAATTATTATGACAGTAAGTTTTCTACAACCTTTTTATACAATATTTTCATTGTATCGTTTGATTCTTGAAATCGATTGCTTGGCCATTGACTGACCTTTACCTTTTGCTTTTAACGTATGGATATCCTACTAATTTGTGTCTGAGTTTAATGACTATCACGTCTCCATATTTGATAATGATAGATGTTCAGATTTTGTTTAATTAATCTTACCATTAAATCAGGTATGGTTTACAATTGTTTTTGAAATTAATGGGTTGGAAATTGTCATAAAATAAACAGGTTGAAAAATAACGTGACGATGCTTTGATTAATAATCTAACTTTTCCTTCTAACAAACTATTCATGCCACCCACTTCACTTCACTTAAGCCTGTTACCCATCCTGAGGCACAGACTGCCCATCACAGGTCTCTAAGAAACTGATGCAAAATGGAGTACCTATGCGACCGTTGTATAAATCAGTGTAAATATCTTGGTTACATTGTATGTTAGTTACTTGGTTACTTACTTACGCCTGTTATTCCTAGTGGAGTGTAGGCTACCAACCAGAATTCTCCAACCACTTAGTCATTCAGTCATCTACAATGTGGGACCAGGCACATATGCATCGGTTTCAGTTGTCATACCTCATTAACACGAAGAGTGTATATACCTACGCCATTGTGATCGATTCTGAACCATGGCACCCAGTCTCCACAACCACTAGTTACGATAGTCACCGGGATCCAAACCAAGTATTCTACATCTACCAACATGTCTCAGACCAGACGTTGGTGACTTCCAGGACTGACGCCATGTTTCGGATTGACCATCCCCAACATTCTTCCGTCCGTCTCCAACGCTAGTCAGCATTGTGCTTCGTGGTAGCCGGTGGTTGGTCATGCGTATCACGCAGCAATCTTTATCTGTATTATCTTTTTTAATTTATTTAAATACATAAGAATTGATACAAGGAGGCACCAGATGTACGTGCGCCTCACTTTGTCATTCGATTTGTTTGAGGGCTGGGGTAATACCCGAGCGTCCGAACCGAAGCAGGTGGTTTTCTTTTGAGGTCACTCGCTGAGCCTTCGATATAGAGGTCTAATCAACATGGCAGTGGAGCAACGTTAGGAGGTGAAGTCCCATAGTAGCCGCTAACCAACAAAAGGTTCATACGCCTTTTGTTTCCTTAGGGTCCTGGAGCCCGTATGCACCGATGGTTTGGCATCAGGGTTTTCCAACTCTCCGTGTTCACCAACTCGGTTAAAGCTCCAGACATTCGCTTTTTATCCTCTGAATTTTGTAAATAGTACCCCTACCACTAGAAGGCGATGAACAGGACTTCCCTGACAGTTACTGTATGCGCATGGCATTTCGATGCGCTCTCACTCCCCACCCTCGACCGTACCAGGGAGTTTGGGAGTCTTTATCTATATTTGTTGCTATGTGTGAGATAGGATATAGTCCAAATCATCCATTTGCGTTCAAGATTTCCACCATAGTCGGGATTTTCCGGTGATGTGGTCTTCGTAATCTAGTCAACCGTGTAAAGAAAAATAGTGAGTAAGCAGGCTTTTCTTGCAGTGGTCTCCACTCATAAAACATCTGTGACCTGTCTCTGAGCAGGACTTCACATTGTAGCCCACCATATAAATTCCTATATAGTGCTGATGATCCTCTCAGGTACTTTGTAGTGTCTAAGAAAATTTTACAAGGTTTTCTTTGGTACTGTTAGATGCTTTCCTACGATCAAGTTAGTTGATGTATATTAATAAGTTCCATTCTATTGATTGCTCAACAATGATCCTTGGTGTCACCATTTGGTCAGCGCTTGATCTATCCTTACGAAATGCAGCTTGTTGATCTCGAAGCTGGGTGTCTACATTTCATTCGGTTAAATAACATTCTGTTGAGATCTTATCTAGTACTGATAGTAGTGTGATACTTCCGTATTTCTCACACTAATTTCGATCTCCCTTCGGTATTTCGATGAGATATCTTTCTGATTTGTTGGCACCCGTTCTTCCTTCCAGTTTTTTAAATTTTCCAAAGCTTCATTGGCTTCAGCTTTTACTTGGTCACCACCAGGTGGTGATCAGTAGCTACATTGTCTCTCTTTGTTCTCACATCTTTAATGGACCTTCTGAAGCTTTTCTTTGTATAGATGTGATTAACCTGATTTTCTGTAGTGTGATCTAGCGAAACACATGTATCTTTGTTTGCGTCTGTGAGAATTGATGCTACCATCTATAACCATATTGTTGAAAACACATGGACCGATCAATTTCTCACCACCCTCATGCCTTTCTCCCAGTTCATATTCCCCCATGGTGTGTTCATACTCGGTGTTGTCCATCCTGACCTTAGTGTTTTTATTTCTTTTATCTAGATGGTCAGGTCTCTTCTTGGTGCACTTTCTAGGACGGACTGCAGCTTCTCATAAAACTGTTTTCTAACACCTCTTCTATTGTTATCAATAGCGTAGCAATGTATGACGTTCATTGCAATCCATTCCTTCTTTATTTTGAAGGAAGCTTTAATGATCTCAAATCCGTAGTTTTCGCATCCTACAAGCGCTTATCATGCATCTTTGTAGGGCATCAATGGAACTCCCTGTGTACGTGGGGATTTTTTTCTTTGTGACCAGAATATAATGAAACCTGTTCCTATTCTAATCTCTTTTTGTTCAACTTGTTTCCAATGAGTTCCGCTTATTCTGAGCGGAACCGGGTTTTATCTTCTTATTTCTGCTGCTATTTGAATGATTCTTCCGATGGTTGTCTAGACATTCCGTGGGCTTACGTTTATTGTTCTGGTTGTTAGAAGGGACGTCGGCCTTGTGACTTCCGAAGAAACGCGGCCTTCATAACGAGGCACCGTTACTCCTCTATATGAAGACCCTTCTACTCTTAGGAGAAAGTTTATTCAGCTCAACCCTGCTCTTTTATCCGGGCTTGGGAACAGCAGTAACTCTATTGGGGTCCCAGGCAGTGTTAATTCTTAGCAACCGTATGTAATTGATTCAGTTTAGTTGTCTGTTACTGGAAATCAATGTTCACTAAATTAACCGAATGAATTTAATCAAGATCTTACAACATAGATTGCTCTGACTCTTACGAAAACATAAATTGATCTATTGTTTTTTTCACAATTTTTTAGGACGTAAATCATCCAGAATGTCTAAAGGAGGAAGATAGTTCTATGGATGGATCATCTCGTGATACCACAACTGCGAATAATAAGAATAACAGTAATGGAAGTGGTAGTAGTAGCAGTTGTAGTTCTAAATCGTTATCTCGAATGTCTTTCCCTGGTCATTCTAAATCTAATGGTGCGTCAAATAAGAAAACTACCGGTAATCTGAAGGATCAGTCAACGGTAAGTCCTATAAACGTACGGTTTTTTGCGTCTTTTTCTTAACGCTACTGACTATTGATTGATGCGTGGATTTTATTGTCCATCATCGTGAATTGTCAGCTTAAATCCTCTGTCATGTTTCATTCATTTTTAACGTAGTAGATTTCGGAAAGGTTCATTTGTTATTTAATATCGTAAGAAATTGTCCCAACAATGTTTTTAAATACCATCAAGCATAATTTCTGAATGACACTAGAAACTCTATAAATTGTTTTTCTCAAACATATAATTCATTAATTATTGTGAAAGCACTTTAGTTTGATAGATAGATAAACGTGATATATGAATATGTGTAATGGGATGGTGTACTCTCCATCTTCTCTCTCTCCTCCTCTTTCCAAATCAGACTAATCTACTATTTGAGACGATAGCTTATACTTTGGTGTATGCTATTGTAATTGCGATTGTGATAGCAACGGAATTTAAAGAATCATTAAACATGTAAAGGACAACTAAAGGAAATTGTGAAAATAATGTATTTAATGTATGGTTTTCATATTTTACGAAGGCACTGTGTAATTTTACATTAAACAATAAATTGGTTCTCGTTCACTACAATACTATTATTTTAGCGTTTATCATCGTTGAAGAAGACAACCAAGCACGTTTTGTATCCGTATAGTGCAGATGATTGTGACTTATTCGAAGAATGAGAAACTAATAAAAGATACAAACAGACATGGATTCTTGCACTAAATCTATCATTTCAAGTCGGCACACGGAAATGTGATGAAATTAAAATTAGCAACCTAGTCCGTAGCTGAGATAAAAACAAAGACATGAAAAGTAATCAAATGTTTAAGGTATTAAAGAATAGAAACATGATGACGAGTGAATACATTCACTCCATATTAATTGATTTTGGTGTTTGTCACCTGGGATTCACTGATTTACATCATCCAGGAAGTCAATTCAGGAGATTAATTCAACTATTAAAAAAACACTATTTTTAGCTTTTGTGTTGTAGTTTCTTTTTTTTTTTAATGTAAGAAACGAAAACACTAACTGTTTGTAGGGATAATTTATTAAATAACAGACTCGACTTTCAACTATTAAATTTCAGGTTCGAACTTCATTCCACCCACTTTATTTCAGCAGGCAAATATGGTATTTACTAGCCCACACATAAACATGCACTTGGCTACTGAGTTGGATTGTCATTGATATTGTTTTTAACAGTTTTTTTCACGTTACAACAGAAAACTTTAGCAATTGCTATTCATCTACTGTTATCCATTTTCTATTCAATACCTAATTACAAATTCTTTAAAAAATACTAAAAGGCAAATATTTTAATGAATATGTTACCTACACGTACACCATTTTCATTATTACTGGTTATGTCGAGTGTCAGTCATTTAAAAAATAGTCTGAAAAATTCAATCTCACCTACTGTATGTTGAAAAATTTGACATTTAGGTAGTTTATTCAGGCGTCATACAATAGCTGTCCTGCATCCACCATATAAAAATGTAAACTAACTACCAATTGGCTGTTTTAAATTATGAACTCGTGCTTTTTTGTCTTGTGACATTTACATTCTTCAATCTATCGACTACATATTTTATTATAAAATTTAAGATGTTTTATAAATGATCAAATTAAATGTTCCAATGGTCAAATGAATGTAAAGTAAACAACTAATTTACTGGCAGTTTTGATAAATGCTTGGAAACTATATAATTGGTTATAAACATATGCATTTAAGTTACTTCTATCTTATTGAAATGTCAGAATTGTGTATTATCTATCAATCTTCAGTTTTGCTATACCTAGGTGATATTGACAATAATGTGTTGAAAATTGTATATCTAGTCTAATATTCCTTGGAAAACCAATCATGGATTCATTTTACTAAATCTTAGTTTACATTAATATATATATTTTTATGATATTTTTAAATTAATGAATGATGGATTATGTTCAATTAATGTAAGTCTTCATTATCTATCCATCAGTTGAATAAGTGGTTTGGTTATTTTTGTCAAAGAAACTACTAAGTGTAGTGATTATAACAAGTTGTTGGAGTCAATGAAAACGTTCATATGGAAATTGCCCAAAACGTATCGATGAGTATTAGAGTAATGAGTGTTAGTTTGCTGAGGGTATTGTGTACTAGCTATGAATGCTAAAAAAATACTTCACTTTAATCATTAGAAACTTTCTTTTTTCTTCAGAAAGTAAACCTTTATTATTTAATCTTTCTGAATGATATTGAACAGGAATCTTCCAAAGATTTCTTTCGAACTTGGTGATCGAAATAAACTATATCATGAATAAAACTGAAAATACTTCCATTATTCAGTACATAAATTGTTCACCAATGAATAGAATGTAATTCAATAATGTAAAACAAGTCGTTACAAGACAGTAGATTACTTGACTGTGTATCCGAAATAGTTAGGGTTGCTCCTTGCGAATGTTGGTATTATTATCTACCTGGCTGAAGTGAACTCTCATGAAGTCAGTCAGTCAGTCAGTCAGCTGCAACGTAGGACCAGGCACGTATATGCATCGGCCCAAGTTGCCATACCGCATTAGCACAACAAGATGAACAACGGATTCATAAAAGTAGTTAATTCAGTGGTGGTAATATATAGAAGAAAGAGTGTGTATAAGGAGATAGTACAGGAAGATAGAATTAGTTCGTAGAAAGAAAGATTTGAAGTGAATTTAATCTCTTAGTTTAAAGGAAGACAGAGAGTGTATACACCGACGCCATTGTGATCGATTCTGAGCCATGTCACCAAGAGTCTCCAACCATTGGTTACGATAGCCACATGGACCCCAACCACGTAGTCTGCATCTACCGACATGCCTCAGACCAGAAGTTAGTGACTTCAAGCACTGATGCCACGTTTTGGTTTGGCTGCCCCTAACTTTCTTCCAGTCATCCCTAACACCGGTTAGCATTGCGCGTCGTGGTAATCGATGTTCAGGCATACGCAGCACGTGGCCCAACCATCTCAGTCGATGAAGGTTCATAACCTCATCAACTGATCTACCATCATTCCCTAATAGCCTGCGTTTAACCTCACTATTACTTACCTGGTGATCCCAGCAGATACCCGCAATATTTCTAAGGCACCTGTGGTCAAATACTAGTAACTTACGAGTATCTTCTACTCTTAAAGGCCATGTTTCACAGCCGTGTAGTAGAACGGAACGAACTGCCGCGCAGTATACTCGTCCCTTAATTGATAGACGGATATCTCGCCTTCGCCATAGATGACGTAAGTTGGCAAAGGCCAAGCAAGCTTTTCGAATCCGTGCTGAGATTTCGTCAGACAGCAACCCATGAGGGCTGATCAGACTTCCAAGATAAGTGAAGTTGTCGACGCGTTCGACTACTTCACTCCCTATCCTTAGTTCAGGTGTTGACGCAGTCCAGTCCTGAAGCAACAACTTGCATTTGGAGGGAGAGAAGCGCATCCCAAACATTCTGGCATTGTTGCTCAGTGCTACCAAAAGACTCTGCATTTCATCAGCGTCTTCACCAAACAGGACTATGTCATCTGCGTATTCTAAGTCAATAAGTGGACCTCCTAGTAGGAGATCAATACCCGAGAATCCAGTCGATGAGAGCGTTATTTCCATCAGTAGATCTATGATGAAGTTGAACAAAAATGGAGAAAGTGGACAGCCTTGGCGGACGCCACTTGATGTTGCGAAAGCAGATGAAAGTTCGCCATAAGCTCTGACCCAACTAGTAGTGTTCGAGTAAAGAGCTTTCACAATGTTTATGTACTTCTGAGGTACGCCTTTCAATGACAGACACTGCCACAGAACCTCTCGGTCAACAGAGTCAAACGCTGCTTTTAAGTCAAGGAAGACCACCATTGTCGGACGCCGATAAGTATGCCTGTGTTCTAGAACCTGACGAATGGTGAATATGTGGTCGATGCAGCCACGACCAGGTCTGAAGCCAGCCTGATTTTCACGTGTTTGCAGTTCACGAGTCTTAGTTAGGCGTCCGAAAATTATCCAGGCTAGTATTTTAGATATTATATTAGCTAAACTATTCCCTCTGTGGTTGTCACAGGATGATTTTGACCCTTTCTTATATATTGGGACAATAAGTGATTGTGACCAGTTAGATGGGATGACGTCTAACTCCCAGATTTTAGCTAAAATATTAGTCAACCTAATCGCTGAAATTGAACCACCATCCTTAAAGACATCTGGGGCCAATCCTTCTGGACCAGCTGCCCTTCCTCGTTTCAGATTAACTATAGCCTTTTGAACTTCAGCTAGAGTTGGTGGACCTACTTCAATGTTCCATTCATACTGTCTGGGAATGGAGGGTAGTTGTAGAGTAGCTGAAGGCCAGCTAAACTGCTCCTTAAAGTGTTCCGCCCATCGTTCTAAGCGTCTGGACTGGGAGCAAATAAGAGTGCCAATTTTTTCCGAAATAGTCAGACTTACACTTGATTTATTAATTCCAGTTTCTTTTATTAGTCTGTAGAGTTGTCTTGTGTTCCCTATAGCCACCGTCTTTCCCATCTCTTTTGCTTTCGTTGCCCACCACTGCTTACGGTCGTTCCTTAGACTTTTGCTTAACCTAGATCTGATTTGTTTACGCTCTTTATCGTGTTCAGATCCTGATGGGATGAGTTTACGAGAGTCCATCAGTGCAATAGACCTTGAAGAAATCCATTGGTTCTTTGTAACCATGCGATTAAATTGCTAATTGATGTCACTGCTGTTTCCACAGCTGCTTGTATATCTTTCCAATCAACATCGGGGTCAGCCTCGTTTTCAGAACTACCTATATGTGACCTCAGTTGTTCCTGGAACCTACTTTTGGTTTTCTCATTACTCAATTCGGTTCTAATGAGTCTTTTTTGTATGGCTTTTTTGCGTCCGATGAGGCGCAAGCAGATGCGTGCTCGTATTAGGGCATGGTCGGAGTCAAGGCAGGTACTCCAGAATGAGCGACAATCTTCTATCGACCCTCTCCA